GGCAAACCGCACAAATCCCTGCGGGTGCTTAGCAGCCGATGAAGCCTTTAAGGCATTCAAAAGGAAACATCTTATGTTTTCTAGCACATAAATGTGTTTTAAAAGGTATATAATTTATAATAGCAGTGTTGACAGAGCTTTAACTACAAAAGCTAAGCTGTAATATATTTACATGTGAGTGGTACTTACTGTGTGGGTGCGTCTCTGTTGATGTGTTTCCATGTGATTCTCCGTAATTTCAGCAAGTGATTGTCGTAAGGGATATTAAGCCATAGTATTGATAATACTTTTACAGCTCTGCTTTGGGAAATGCATTACTGCTAAATTAGTCCCTGAAAATCTTGAGATATTAACACTGTTGAGCATGAAGGCAGATGGGATTTTGATCAGAGACCTTTATTTGTAGCATGATCCTAAACAGTCATTACGTTAAAGCAGGAACTTCGTTTCCTTGAATATTAACTGGAGTTGGGGATTTTACTTCCGTATTGGCATGAACTAGCTTATCATAAAAGTGTAAATGGAACCCGCTTGGTATTGATTTTTCCTGTGCTCTAAAAAGATGCTTAATGAAACTCGAGGTACCTAGATAAAGACCTTCACTGAATGCAAAGTAAGCTTAATTGCAGTTCCCTTAACAAGCTACTGGAGATGATTTTTTTTTCCCCACTACAAAGCAGCCCTTTCACCTATTTAAATTGGTTCTCTTCCTGTGTGTGCCATGATGCGTTAATTCACTTGTTTTTTTTTTTTTTTAAATTATGAGGGGCAAATTGCAGCTTAAAGAAAGGACTTTTTTTATATACATTTTTGTGTGGACAGAAGTTCTTGAAGAGTTTGATTTTTGAGGTCGCAAGAGGTTTTAGTCTACAAAAAGAGTGACAGCTCTCCCCTCATTTTATAGAAGGGGAGAAAGGCACAGAGCCATTTTCTGACCCTTGTACAACAGACCAGTAGCAAAATGGAACCCGAACGGAGGTTTTCTTAGCGTTTGTCCTAAGACCTGTCCTCTGCCAGACCCTGCCCGTGCTCTGGCAGAGGTGCAGGGCTGCTCTTCTCACACGCCAGCACCGCGAGCTCCAAAGCGAGCCCAGCTGCCTCTGGTGGGCTCAGGCTGTCCCCTGAGATGGCCGCCTCGGCGCCATTCCTGGTGGTGGTGGCTCGTTCTCCTGTAGGCCCTGCTTGTGGTGCTCCCTCGGAGTCCTGCTAATGCTTCACCGAGTTCTTCACGTTCTCTTTGCGGTCATTTTTTGCCTTGCCCTCAGCCACATGGTGAGCCCCTCCCTGCGCTGGGTCTGGCAGCAGCTGAGGCGGCCTCAACTGCGTGGTGGCCTGAGGCCAGGCCCACACCTCGCGGCCGTGCCACCTACCTGGCACCACAGTCCAAAGAGCCACCGCCTCTGCTGCTGGGGACACGCGCGGTGCCGGGGATGCACGCTGGCCCTCGGCAGTTTGCCTCAACGTATGTAAAGCACTGCATCTGCGTTAATTACACATGGTGCCTTCAAGCCTCTCTGTGCTGCTGTGTGAGATACTGCTCCCACAGAAAATGTCAGACAATGAGAAGATGGCACAAGTCCCCCCCACCCCTCCCTTCCCTGTGCCAACACCATCACAAAGCAAGAAAGGGTATTTAGCACACTCAGGGGTAGCCAAACAGTGCCAGGGGAGCCCCTGGGTGAGGTGTAAGCCCAAGAAACCTCTTGCTGTTACCCTTAGAGTCAGTCTTGCATTTGTTCATGCTCCAAAGAGCGATAAGTTGGGGAATTTTCCTAAGGATTTGAGTAGGAAGATAGAGCAGCTTTGCGTCAGGTGCAGGGTAATTATTTGCTGGAGTTCTGTGCTATTTGGTTTTTATTCCCTGTGTTTTCATTAAAAGCTAATGAGTTTTTTCTTCATTCAGAACAATAGCTTGGCCCCTGACAAGTTGTTGGTTATTTTTTCTGCTTGGACTCAACTAGCTGTTGCTGCTCCATAAACTTTATGGAAAAGTGGATTAAAGCACAAAAGTTTCTAAAACAAATCCTCATTCCCTTCCATTTGGATTTGCATTAAGTAGCTACGTGTGCAGAGTTTTTGTTGATCCTTGTCATTGTAACTCTAAGCAGTTTGAAAATATTCCTAATACCAACCAAACCAGCCGCCTTCGTGCTGATTTGTGTTGCAGCAGCTCACAAGTCGGAGACCTGCTGCGCTTGGCACAATACATGTATGCACACACTGCAGCCTGTGCATATTGGAGTGGGTTTCTGTAGCCTGCATAAACTTGTGAAAGCCTGGTTTCTAGTCCTCTGGGCGGGGAGCAAACCTGTTGCAAGAATCACAGAATTTTAGGGGTTGGAAGGGACTTCGAGAGATCATCGTGTCCAACCCCCAAAAGAAAGAGCACAGCTGTGGTGACAACCCTCCTGTATGGTATTTCATGCCTGGGAAGTGGTCTGCCGAAACAGAGACCTGTGGCTTGAATCTTTCACGTGGTTTATGTGCGTGACAGCTACTCCTGCTGTTAATGCCAGTGACTTACTCTTGCACGTAACTTTCCTGATTGGGTCCTTGTTCCTGTTCCAAACGGCTTACTGCATCCATGCATCGATGCGTGAGCTGTTCCTCCCCAGCGAGATGGCTGCACCGTGCCACGCCGCCTCCTGCTACTTGGAAACCATAAACAGTTTGCTCGTTATCGCAATAATGCTGCACCTGTATCTCGTTATAAGGGAACACCTGTTACCTTGATGTTTGTTTGAAAAGCCTGGTGTAATACTGTGCAGTTTGTCTGAAAGAAAATGTTCTTTTAAGGTATCAGGGCTGAATGGGCTCGCGGAAGCTGTCTTCTAATGCTGGCATCTTCACATCACTGCAGACAGTCAAGCCCGCAACGCTGCAGCACGGCACTTAGACAGGCTACTCATTAGAATGATCGCTGTTTTCCTACGATAGTGAGCTGTTGCTGTTTGGTAGCGGCTTTTTATGTAGGCTTTTTAGAGCCTGTTTATTTGAGGATCTCAAAGTGCTACAGTAAAACAAGGAAGAAACATCCCCTTCTTACACACAGCTGAGCACAGCACTGAAATGACTTCTCCAAGGTCAGGCAGTCAGTGGTGCGCTCACGGATGCGCTCCAGTGGCCAGAGTCTGGCCAGCGGAGCAAGGGATTTGAGTCTCTGCTTTTTAATAGCTAATTGTTCTTTCCTCGTGGAGGTGCATGCATGAATTTCACGTTGTTTAGCATAGAGGAACGTGCTTTGCTTATCCTGCATGACTTCCCTAAAAGTAGTCTGTGGAGGGAAGACCCTCTGCAGTACTACTTCCACTTACCTCTGATCCTGCAGCAGGAATTAAAGCTTGCCCTTTGGGCTGGGGGCCTGCAGCTTTCTCCTTGGCCTGAGAGGTTGGTAATGCAGATGCTGAATGATGCTGCCTTCCAAAAGGAGAAAAAATGTTTTCTGAATTTATTTTTTTTCCTGAATCAGATGTTTTGCACTGCATGCTGAGATGGCTGCTGGAAGCAAGTAAACATAGACTTGGGAAAAGATTTGATAATGACATGCTACATCTGAGGTTCTTACCCTGTTAGGGAAGTTAAGAGTGTCTGAAAGGACAGGCTGCCAGAGGCACCTCTCTTATGTCACTGACTCCCACAGGCCTTTGGTAAGTATCACAAAGCCAAATCTTTTTCAAATCTCTCTCGATATCCTTTTAAGACCTTTGAGCTTGTAATATCAGCAAGACTATCATAATATCTGGCACTCATGGTGATCTGTTTTTTTAAGTAACTGTTCTGTGGACAGGCAATCTTGTATGCATTATGCTCTTCACAGCCAGATTGTTCATTTTGGTGAAGGACTGGAGTTCAGCCCTTGAATGCAGACGTAGGGGTCTCAGAGCTCTGAGCTCAGAGAAAGCAAGGGAAGGCTGCAACCTGTGATGTTGAAAATAAAACTTCCAAAATACCATGTCGCCTTTCTTCAGCTGAGGACTTCACAGGGTCTCCACTGCAGTTTCTTGCTGGTGGCAGGAAGAGTGTTGTAACCTCCTGCTCCAGGCCTTCAATACCCTTTCATCAGTGCTTGATTTAAACTATGGGGTGCAGTTCCTCTGTTTGCTTAGATAAAACTTGTTTGGAACTTAATTTTTAGTGTTTGAACACAATTAACATCAGCTGAAAACTCACCTTTCTTGCTGTTTGTTGTGTGTTGACAGAGTAGCCAGCTGTCTTTACCTCTGTTATCAGCAGTCTGGGGCGTGTGTATTCAGGAAAAAAGGCAAAAGCTTGAAAGACAACTCTTCTGCTTTGTGTGAGCTGTGTAGCATTTTCTTCTATGGGTAGGCTACGTGTGCTCTGCTTATAGGAAAGTTTTAAGTTATCAGCTTTCATTGTAGTTATCTAAGTGCCTTCTGCATAACATCCAGTATTGGTAACAAATCCATAGCAAAATGTCTGTTCACAGTAAAATTCAGCCCAACATCTTCTATGGGGAGGTAACTGCTCCTGCCTCCACACAGATACGTTGCTTTGTCAACTTGTATGTTTCTGTAATTACATGGAGTCAGTTTTTTTTTTTTTTTCCCTTACTACCCTCTTATTTGAGGATCTCAAAGATTTTTCTTACAGTATAAGAAGATTCTTCATTCTAGTGAATTTGGTAGTATATTGCTCCTTTTCACAGATGGATCCTTTTCACAGAGATCATGTACTGAGCACAAGAGCAATGAGTTGAACAGGTTTTGGGGCCAAACTACCAGAGCCTAGTATTTCCAGCCTCCTCCTTGTATGCCCTTCAAGTATGAAATCCGTACATATGCAGCATGAGTGTTCATGAAGCAAGAATATGCTGCTTGTCCCTAAATGATGAATCTGGCCTTATACCTGGAAAAGTGGTTTAGGGTTTCATAGAGAATCTCAGTGGAAGGTGAGAATCAGGAGGAAACACGTATCGGCATAGGAAGTAAAATTTGGATTTAGGAATGTCCTCCACTAAAATCAAGCTCTCTTCTTTCTAGGAGAGGATCAGCATGATGCTGGCTTTGGACAAGACAGTTCTGATGAAAATCAAAGCTGGAGTTTGGCCCCTTCCATGACATCTGATGTCTCACTTCCATCAGACTTCCTAGATGATGGTAAGTCACTGATGTTTTTTGAAGTCCTTATGCGAAGAGGATGGAAAGGTAAGTGCAATTTAACGTGACTTGTTCTGTTTCATCCATCTCATAATGCTGGAGACGTTTTTTTGTTGACTGGTGACTATAATCAATGACTGTAAAATGTTATAGCAATCCCAAATTTAATTTGGTATTGCTGAAGACAAATGCATGGTGCAAGTTGGAATTGGTCGTTCTCTTTTGGATAAACAACAGTGATGGGAAAGAGCAGAATTTGGCAAGTGGCTAGCATTTTCCAAAGTTAACTTGCAACTTTGGGGTCCATTTCTTCTCGGATGCTCAACCTCGCACTTCAAAGGGGTTATGTCTTCTCATACTTTGTCTCACTCCACCTTTTGAAGATTAGACCCCTTTAAATTGTCTTGGCCAGGAGAGCCTTTTTTGGGGACTTTCTAGAACTTGGGAACTGGGGCTCCCTCTTCCCAAGAGTGTAGAAGCACTCCCAGCTGAGAGGTGGACATGAGCTGGCATGCTGAGGCCAAGGGTGTATTCAAAGCATTGAATGTCAGATGGAGGGGAGGTTTTCTGGGCAAAGAGGTGCTGTGATGTTCGCTTCTGCTTGTGAGTGGTGGTTTAGGAGTGATGAATTTGTGATACGCTATTGAAATTGAAGCCTACAGAGCTGAGACGGTTCCGATCTTAGGGGTTATCTTTGGTCCCTACTGAAGGATTGACTGTTTTGGTCTCAAAATTTGGATTCTCAATCTCCCCGTTCCCGCAGAGCTTATTTCTTCCTTCTCTTCCACTTCCCTTGTACTTTCCACAGTGCTTTCTTACTCCCCTCTCCTCATCCTTTCTCTTTCAGTTTCTCTTTTCCACCTCTTCCTGCTCAATGTACTCTTTCATGTCTACTCCTACTTTCTGTTAGTGAATCGTTGCTCATTAGTCAAGAACACAGAGCGATAAGGATTTATTTGGGATGAGGCCATAAGGGCTGATTGGCACCAAAGCTTCCTTGTGCAGTGCAAAGCACTAGGTGTATTTGCCATATGTATTGATTCATTTAGACTGATCAGAGACAAGGTTGGTCTGATCGTTAGCTAGTAACTGCAGCATGAAAAAAGGTGTGGAGTTGTGACTTCTAAGAGCTGGGCTGCCCTGGGAAAACTTAAAATTGTCAGGAAACTTAAAATTGCCCTTGTTTGGGTCTGGACCCCCACGTCCAGTCCCTGTAACATTTATCTCAGTGGGCTCTCAGTGAGGTGTGCAGCCTGTCTGCTGCAGAACTGTAAAGAAGGCACAATGATTTTTTTAAAAATGAATATGAAGTCAGTCTCACGAGGATTTAAATCGTTACTTCCAAGAAGGCGGATTAAGCTAACGGGTGTATCAAACAGCTTTCATTTCTGAGTTAGAACATCCCTTGTGGGAAAATCAGAATGTTTTAGGATTGTGTGAACTGATTTTTCCTCTTTGCAGGTTGTGTTGGCTTCCCTGCATTGGGTTGCCTTCACCTTTACTGTGCCCCTTCTTGCTCCTATTTCTGTTTAGCCAGGAAGGTCCCTGGAGCAGGCTCTCTGACTGTGCTAGCAGTGAGCCTGGCCAACCGTGGCTCCCTGGGGTGCTGCTGTCACACACATAAGTGACCGAGAGCTGCTGCTTCTCAGGTAGAACAGGTAATCCATCTAGCTATGGCCAGAAGAATAAATTGGCCCTGTAGGAACAAACTTACAATTCCTGCGGCTTTTTTCCATCCCTTCTTAGCTCTGTTTTGCAATAAGAGGTTATGTTCTCAGGTGCGTGTCCTGTTAAAGGATGCTGTCTGTTGCGTTCCCAAATTCCCAAACTTTATCGATTCAAGGCTTTGATGGAAGCAGATCTCTGGCTGGGATGATGCTCACTTCTGCCTCTCCTTACCAGGAAAAACGGGGGAGTGCAGGCAGGGGAATGCCCCCACTGTTCGCTTTCATTTTGAAGAGACTTTTCCATTCTTCCCCTGAACTTGTGATGGGAATCTGAGAGAGCCTTTAAAGTTGTCTCTGGAGGAAGCAAGAGGGGCTGTGCGAGTTGGGGATGACTTTACTCAATGAGGCATGGCCCTGCTCTATAGGATTGTCCCTAATGAGTGATTAAGAAGCTAATGTTTGTACAGTGCTGGGAGGCTGTGGAGCTCTGTGTAAGTGCAGAGTGCTGTTATGATGATGAGTATTTCTGGTGAGACGCCTCCCTGTCATGCACCCTGCTCAGACCACTTGGAGACTTTTCAAGATATTTTCTCTCTTAATCTGGTAGATCTGTCTGCCGGTGTTCATTGCTTTCATTTTGCCGAGGTGTAAGGTACCACAGCTTCCTTGGGGTAGGAGTTGCACACATCTAAAGTATTGAGCACTTTGAGATGTTGCTTCCTCAGTTTTCTGTCTTTTCCATGGCTCTCTAGCAGTGCTTCTACCATCGCAAAGCCTCTGATGTCTTCCTGGAGGGACACTGAGGCAGGAGCCGAGGGATGCGCCCGGTGCCAGCGCAGGCAGCTCACAGGGAGCTGGGGGGTGAGGGCTGCTGCGGCCCCTGCCCCTGCCCGTCTGTGGCTGTGCTGCTGGTGCCACATCATCGGCAGTGTTTTATTTTGTAAAACAGGTACACGGTAACATACAGCTCCTTCCGTTTGGTGTTTTTGTTTTGTTTTGAATACTGTCTTAAAATCAATTCCTTTGGCAAAAATTCCTTTCGCTTTATAAAAACTCGCTAAAAATGGCTTTTATCTTAAAAGCTGCGGTGGCTGGCAGGCGAGATGGTGCTTCACTGCGCCCCAGCGGCGCGGGGGAAAGGGGAGCGAGGCAAAAGGAGACTCGACGCTGAAGGCGGGGGCGGAGGCTGCGAGGGGCGCCGCGTCCCGCACTGGCTGCCGGCGGCCGCCCGCACCCCGGGGGGGCCGCGCGCTCCCGCTCGGTTGCGCCGCCCGCGGCCGGGTCGGGAGGGGAGCGGGGAGCGGGGCTGCGGCCGCGGGGCCGGGCGGGGCCGGGCGGGGCTCGGCGGCGCCCCCTGGTGGCGCGGGCGGGGCAAGGCGCGGGCACGGCTCGTCCCTCGCCGCCGAGGGAAGGGGCCCGGGGCCGGGCCCGACGGCTGCGGGGGCGGCTGGAGGCGACCCCCGGCGCGGCCGCAGGAGCGGGATGGGGGCCGCAGAACCCCCCCGGGGCCGCGGGCCGCCTGCTGCAGGTCTCAGCCGCCCGGTGCGAGGTCTGCCAAGGGGCTGAGAAAAGGCAAAAACCCGTATAAGAAGAAATAATTAAAAAAAAACAGTTATATTTATGTCCTGGTACTGTAAAGCAGGCAGACCTCCTTAACGCCGCGGAGGTCGTGTGCTTGGAGGTAGCACTTTCTGAATGGAAATGCACCGTAACAGCGCTTTGAGGCCCCGTGTGATAATGTCCCTGGCACTGTACAAATACGTTCCTGGAATGGTGCTCGGTCTGGGCAAAAGGTTTGGCTGTAGTTTATGCAGAGCAGTTCAGTTCACCTTTGTATGAAGTTTTATTCGTTTGGGGTGGAGGGGAGGAGGGTGGGTGGCTCGCAGGCTGCCAGAAATAGATGTGTGTGGTGCATAGGGGAGCCCAGACCTTTGTAGCAAACAAGCGGTGGGAAGAGTAACGCCGGCAAGATTTTCAGCTTTCATTTAAAACAAACCAAGCCCCAACCCAAAGTGGCTTCGTGTTCTCATTTGGGATTTTACAGCTGCAGAAAACTGTAGTACAAGTAATCACTGCAGAAATCCTGACTTGTGGCGGCAGCGCCCAGCAGCTGCGCACGTCGAGCTACAGATGCTGATCCTGAGGGCACCCAACCGAGTCTGCGGTTTCATGGGTGCCTGTTTTGAGCTCAGAGTCGTTTTTCCTTTGAGACACTCAGGAGTCGGTCTGAGAGGCTGTTGTTGTGCTAAGGGTGTGCAGAAGAGCAGGTGACTGCAAGAACCTTCTCTGTCTCATCTAATCTCCCCCCTCATCTTCCCCTGCACCCCATAAAAGCAGTTCTTCTTTGTGAAGTGTTGAAACCTCAGGCGTTGGTGCTGACCGGTGGCAGGACCGGAGGCCGTGTCCTGCTGAGGCTCAGCCCGGCGCTGGGCTGAAGCTTGGCTCTCTCAGGAGGGCCCTGGCTGGTGCCTCATGGGCGCTGCTTTTAGAAATGATCCTGATACAAACCAGCTTGGGCCCCAAAATGTTTTGGTCCAGCCTATCCTTTAAGCTCCTCCAGCTACATGGCATGCGGTATCATGGTGGTAATTTGCAACTGGGGACTGTCAACCTCAAGATTCAAATGCTGGCTTTAAAAGTATGGGTTGTTTTATGCAAAATAATGTGTCCATGGTTCTGTCAGTGCCATTGGGTGTTACGTGCCTTGGCGTGTGGTTTGGAAAGATTTTTTGACTAACCACTGGGATGTTTGGTTTTTAAGCTGAGATTCTCCAGTGATTCCTTGTTTCCTTAAGAGCTTGGGCTCTTACAACCAAACCAAAACCAAGAAAAACAACAGAAAACACCACCACAACAAGCAAACAACAAAGTGTTATGAAACATGATGTAGAATCTCAGCAGTTTAAATCTGCAGAACCTCAGACAAGTTATAATTCAAATTGCTTAGACTTGGGTGAAATGCTACTACCCTACGAATGCAGATTTTCTGAAGTGAGAGTCCTGACTCCCTCCTGCTTTTCCAACAGGGACAAGCAGGATCAAAGTCTTCCTTGTTTTACAAGTGCAGAGTTGGATAGAAAGATTTACTTCCCATACCTCGAGGACAGTCTTTAACAACAAGATGTTCTTTGGATTTTTTAGTAAGATGCTTAACAGCAGAGAGCTTGTGTGGAAGCGCTGGCTTACGGTCGCAGCTCAGAAGGGGTTGCAGCGGGAGCTGCCCTCAGCCGCGGACGATTTCCCAGGAATGGGCGCAGCGCTGCCGGGTGCACGCTCCGGGGATGTGCCGGCCATCAGCAGCCTTCTCGTGGAGAATTGATCGTTGCCCCTGTC